AGTCAAATACAATTTGCTTTCTGTTTTGTATGTGTGTTAGATGTAAACATATATATATATATATATATATATATATATATATATATATATATATATATATATATATATATATATATTATTTTTAATAAATACAATCTTCCTTTAGGGGTAAATTGATAATTTTATTAAAAACTGAAATATAAATGCTATTTGACTGTTTTTGTATCAAATACGCACATTTCAAACAATTTGCATAAAAAACACATAATACTGAATTAAACATCAAGGATTCCATTCTATTGTGTTTTTGGTTATTATATTTTTTTTTATGGATTTCTATTCATAAGGATGTGTTTAGCTCAAGGATACCTGCTCAATCGAATGTATTAGGAATTCAAGACTCTACTGCTTGGCATCTTTGGTTGCCAAAATGTACTGAGTTCAATTGTGTCGCGTGTTTGAGTGTGTGTTTGGTTCATGCGGTTGAATTTGATTGAACTTAAATCCAAGATTCCATTCCAAAGTATGGTTAGTAGCCAAATACATGTAATTAGTTTCCGAATAGCATTTACACGATTCCGTCAACCAAATACAACACCCAAGAGCTCATTTCACCACCTAAAATTTACAAACATAAACTTGTAGAAGTTTACAATTTCGACGATACCGTGTGCGAGTTAGCAAAAAAGTCTATTGCATGCTCCATCAAAGATTCAAAGTAGGTGGGACCATAAAACTCTTGATTCCTAAAGTCGAACACTCAGTCTAATAAGATTACACAAATGGTACCTGCAAGCACCGATCTGTAGTTTCTATGGGTTACCATGTCAATAACACAAGTTATTTTTGTCTGGTCTCCAAAGAACAAAGAGAAAATTTGATTTTTTTGAGTCGAAATCATATTTTTGACCTTTTTGATCAAATTTGATCATTCTAACCGGTTATTTATTTATTTTATTTTTTTTGCCGTTTTTCGTAATTTGCCGGTTTGACATAAAAAAAACACAATACACATATATGAAACACTTAATAAACAAAATGTTCATAATGTCCATTTTGACCATTATTTTAGCTTTTTTGTCTTGTTAACCACATGTTTGTATCAATTAGGTCAATTTGTCCATTTTCACAAATTATGTCAAACAAACTACCAAGTGGATATCTTTGACGCTTTCAGATAAAAAGATTCCATTCACCTTTCAAAAAACATAATTTTCATTAGTTGTATATTTTACGATGACAATAAACAAGAGTCAATGACAATCATTATCAAAGGTGAGGTCGTTTCTTAGACAACCAATATTTACTCATAGGCAATTGTATATTGCATTATTGAGAGTTAAAAGTAAAGATGGATTAAAAATATTAATTTTAGACAAAGATGATAAATTTAGTAATACGACATCTAATGTTTTATTCAAATGACTCTTAGGAAATTTGTAATTCATAACAATTATTTACATTATATCAATAGTTTTTTATTAGTATATATTTAGTTACCTATTTATTTATCATTTGTTTGTATTTATTTCGAAAGTTTACTTTTAAAAAATGGTTAATTTTTACACATTGGTTTTCAACATCATTTTTTAAAATATGTAAATATTTATTTTATTAGTTTATATTGAACTGCTTACTTTATTCATTATATAATTTCTATTTATGCAAAAGTATTACTTTAAAAAATACTCAGTGCTTGCACATTTATATTAAACTCTTTTTAAATAAACTCGTTTAATATTTATGTATTACACCTAGTGTAACTTTATAAAAATAAGTGTTTATTCTATTTTAACAATAAAAACTTTATTATGGAATTTTGGATGTTACATATAAATTAAAAAAATACAAAAAAGATTTTGGTGTCTTTTAGTATTGATTGTCTGGTGGTACATCTTATTTCTTTCTTTAGCAAGAAGGGTGTGATCTTCGTCGATATGGTACTTTTAAAGACTTAATGTAACTTTATTGGTTAAATCTAAAACTCGTGTATTATATGAATTCATTTAAAAGAAATGTTAACTATGAAGGTCTAAATATTGAATTTATAAGAAAAGTGAGAAAAAATATTAAATAAAATTGAAATGCTTTTTTCTATGGTAAATTTAAACAAATAATTTAGATAAAAGAACTAATGGGGTTTTAATTTAGGAATTTTGAATTTAAGCAAAATTCATTAATGACATTACTATTCATTTATTATTACATTTAAATGCTATGTGAAATTTAATAAAATAGTTAAACCATAAAATGATATATATCAAAATGAATAAGAATGTGATATATGACAAAAAAAAATATTTATTTATTAGATAGATGTGAACAGAAAAAATTGCATCCAAATCATAATAAATAACTCCAACTACAAAACCTATTGAAAGTCAAACTATGAATACTTCAAATTAGTTACCATTAATCTCTACAATAAATACTATCAACTACATTTTCCTATAAATATTCCCAAAATTTACTCTCAAATGGCATAGAAAAGTGTTTTGTGGATCTGAAAATAGAATGAAGAAGGTGAAGTCAAGTTTGGTTGTGCTTATGACATTTATGGTGGTTGCATCGATGGATTTCCATGGCTCAACGGCAAAAGAACTCATGGTGGGTGGTCCCTTCGGTTGGGGTGTGCCACAAAATCACAAATTCTATGATAAGTGGTCAAATCATCATATCTTCAAACCTCATGACGTGCTTATCTTTAATTTCACCGGTGAGATTTCTAACAACGACGTCGCAGAAGTGACGAGGGAGGCGTATCTCAAATGTGATGCTGAGAACCCAATCTCACGCCAGACCACCAACCTCGCTAGATTTAAACTTACGAACACAAGCACGAACAACCACTATTACATCTGCACCATACACCAAAATTGCAAGTTAGGGCAGAAATTAGTGGTTATGGTTTCCTTCCGCCGATAATTATTACCTTATTAATTTTATTTTATTATTATATTTATATAAGGAATTATATATATAGCTAATACTTCGTCATACAAATTTATCCCGTTTCTCTTTTGAGTATTTGAATATTCGATGGACAATAATGGCAATGTGTGGATAAATAAACTAGAATATAAGTTCAGTAGGTATAAGTTCAATAGGTTAATCAAATATATCACTTTGATATTAATGCTTAATTAAACTAAAATACAAATAAATTGGAATAACTAAGACAAATCTTATTATTATTATTATTATTATTATTATTATTATTATTATTATTATTTTATGTCATCGAAATCTGAAAAAAAAAATCTTTAAAACACATAGTTTTGGCATTGTAAATAATTCTTAACAATATTAAATATGGCTTAGTTTCAAATATAAGTTGATACCAACAACTTTGCAAATGTAAATGCATATAACAAAAGAAGTTGTTTGTGCATCTTCCAACAAATGTTTAAAATTAAATTTGTTGGAGGCTTTATGTTATACTTTTAGTTGGGTGTTGTGGTTCACACATAATTCTTGGGTTTTCGACAAGGTCTGTAGTTACTAAGAAAAATAAATTGATGATCTTCATTCTTTCTAATTTAACTAGATCAAGAATCTTTCTAATTTAACAAGATCAAGAATTGGCTTAGCAAGAGTAATTTAAGCTGGGATAATTGGTGTAGTAATCATATTGCTTCTTTGACGATGTAACTTGTTTTGTATTATTATTGCTAGTTGCTCGCTAGCTCTCTTTTATTATTAATTTTACACTTGTTATTACACCAAAAAAGATATAACAAAAGAAAGAGAGTAAATTAAGTGAATGGTCTTTATAGTTTGAGGTAATTTATATGTTTGGTCCCTAACTTATTTTTTTAACGCGGAAGGTCTCTATCGTTTGTTTTTGTTGCGTTTGGTCTCTGTATTACCTAAAAATACTATTTTGCCATTAATTTTTTTAATTTATTTAAATAAACATACCCCAACCCCACTTCAACCTCATCTTACCTTACCTTATCTATCATATCTTATTTACATAAATTAAAAAATCATGGAAAAATTAGGTAAGACAGGGACCAAGTGCGCAACAATAATAAACTATTGAGACCTTCCGAGTTAAAAATAAGAAGTTAGGGACCAAATGTCCAACTTAACCCAAAGCATAGGTTCCGTTCGTGTAATTTACTCAAGAAAGAATACAATGTAATAAATTGTATTATTGAAACACGGGAAGAACTAATAACACAACATAAATAACACAATAAGTTTTGACTAATCTTAAAAGAAGAATATGATGTGATGCCTCCAATATTCGAATGTGGTCGCTACTAAAAACCTTACTCTAAATCTAGACACACGCTAATATATATATATATATATATATATATATATATATATATATATATATATATATATATATATATATATATATATATATATATATATATATATATACATATATATATATATATATTCATGTGAGACGCCCTAATTTTGTGAGACCGTGAGACGTATTTTTTTATTTTATTTTTATTTTTTTTAAATTTTTTTTTAGTTAATTCAAGTTCCGAAAATAATATTTAAAAAAAAGAATTTTTTGATTTTTCCATTTATTTTGCATTTTAAAATTATTTTTAGAATATGTACAGTGTAATATTCTATTTAGAATATTTCACGTATTTTTAAAAAAAAAATAGGATTTTTTTATTTTTTTTTAAATTTTTTTAGATAATTCAAGTTTCGAAAATAATATTTAAAAAAAGAATTTTTAGATTTTTTCATTTATTTTGCATTTTAAAATTATTTTTTAGAATATGTCAGTGTAATATTCTATTTAGAATATTTCACGTATTTTAAAAAAAAAAACGGGATTTTTATTATTTTTTATTTTTTTAGTTAATTCAAGTTCCGAAAATAATATTTAAAAAAAGAATTTTTGGATTTTTCCATTTATTTTGCATTTTAAAATTATTTTTAGATTTGATCTCACGGTCTCACAAAATTAAAATGGTCTCAAATGAATCTGAACATATATATTAGCTTAAAACTTGTGTACTATACAGTTGACAAATTAAAGGAATATGGATAATAACAAAAGCAAAGCCAATAATCCTAAACTTGCAAACATTTATTTCTATACGACAATGGATGTTCTCTTGGTAAGTTTATAATATTTATTTATGATTAATATTTTTAATACTGTTTTTCTTTTAACTCCTAAGAAGAGCATCTCTAATAATAAACTTATACTATAACATACAATTATTATCATATTATAATTCCATTAATTTTAACATTTAATTAGATAACATCTCAAATGGTTAAGCTCTTCTCATAATTTTAATTTTCTTTAACTAATTTATCATTATCTATATAAAATATTGACAAAATTGCAAAAATGGTCCCTATAGTATGCAAATTTTTAGGGTTTTAATCTAAACAGTGACTTTTTTGGTTTCGTAGTACTTTTGGAGTGGTTTGTATGTGAAAATGGTCCCTCTGAAAATTGAAATGACTATAATACCCTTGGGGTATTTATTTTTCATTTTTCTTTCATTATTCTTAAAATTTAATATTTATTTATTTATTTTAACAATTAAAAAAATAAAAAAGGGTCCACCTCTTTCTCTCTCTCTCTCTCTCTCTCTCTCTCTCTCTCTCTCCAGTTTCAATACCCAAAGATACAACCCACCATCATCTTCTTCATGACCCTCATCTTTTTCAAACCGTAACTCCTCACCACCATCTCTCCTTCGAGTCACCAAAATCAACTACCAACACCACGATCTATAGTAGCAGCGACAGTGGGTGGTGATTTGCAGATTCGGTAAGTTCCCAGATTACCCACCTAGATCGTATAAGGATATGGTGGTGTCGGAGATCTACAGTAGCAGCGACAGTGGGCGGTGATGGCAGCTTCGTTGCTTCCACTTCCTGTTCCGTCGAGCTCGATGAGGATGGAGGCAAACTGAGATGGGTACGACGGAGGGAAGAAGTAGCAGTGGATGGTCGTGGTTGGAAGGCCTTGGTTGCCTCGCTATCTTCTTCGTTTTCTGGGCAGCAGGTCGTCGAGAGGGAGGTAGTAGGAGATGGGATGAGGTTTGATGTTGTTTGGTGGTGATTCACAGTGATCAAAGTCACCGATGGTGGTTATTGATGGAGGCAGTGACGGTTCTTGATGGGTTTTGGTGGCAAGCTCCCAAAACCGGAGGAAGGCAGTAGATGGTGGTGTTTTGAAGCTTGCTTGACGGATTTTAATGGCGGGGATATAAGGTGGAGTTATGGTGGATGGTTTCAAAAGAAAGAGACAAAGACAAATGCTTCACCTTTTTTAGTAAACCACAGTGGACCAGGAAGAAAAGAATTCAACATGTTTTCTTGAGAGAGAGAGAGAGAGAGAGAGAGAGAGAGAGAGAGAGGTGGGACCTTTTTTATTTTTTTAATTGTTAAAATATATAAATAAATATTAAATTTTAAGAATAATGAAAGAAAAATGAAAAATAAATACCCCAAGGGTATTATAGTCATTTCAATTTTCGGAGGGATCATTTTCACATACAAACAACTCCAAAATGACTACGAAATCAAAAAAGTTACTGCTTGGATTAAAACCCCAAAAATTTACATACCACAGAGACAATTTTTGCAATTTTGTCTAAAATATTTTATAAAATGCCCTTCATTTAGTTAATATTTTTTTTAAAACACGCATCATCTTTTAATAGTAATAAAAACATATTGACCATTTAATACACACACATATATATATATATATATATATATATATATATATATATATATATATATATATATATATATATATATATATATATATATATATATATATATATAAAGAGAGAGAATAATGATCAATAAAAAAAATAAAAATATATGCGCCAATAACATTGAATAATAAAAAAATAGTAATAAGCTATATAAAAAAAAGGTCCTCACCGGAAATGTCTAAGATAAAGTAACTAACCATGTGAACGGAAAAATTAGATAGTTGAGAAAACGAAAAGTTGATGTAGTTCCAATGCATGTTTTAAAAATATTTTGTTTTTTTTTTTTTTTTATACATAACAGCACATAAACATAGAAGATATTTTCAAATTTAGGACAACGCCTTCAAAAGTCCAAAAACATAGAAGTTATTTGAATATTTAAGACAACACCTTCAAAAGTCCAATATTAAAATGAAAACATGGATAAAAACATCATTATAAACATGTTGGACTATTGTTCAACCTATACAGCTTGCACAACCATGAGACTTTTTTTGATCGGGAACTAACGACATTAAATTTTACCAATTTACTATGATGAATAATATATATTATTGTTATTATACTAGTATTTCCAATGACTAAAACATCTTAGGTTTCGTTTGATAGTTTCTGTTTGGGAAAGTGCTGTCCGGTAAAGTGTTGTTTGGGTAAGTTTTTCTGACTGGGAAAGAAACCATATTGTTTGATTGTACATCTGATTGACTGTGCTGAATGTTGAAAAAAAGTAATAATTCAATAAAAAATAAATTTTAAAAAAGTTATTTAAAAAAATTAATAATCCAATAAAGAAAGAAAGATGCGGGGTTTGGTGTATAATTATCTTTCCAGCCCATTCAACCATAAAGATATGAATTTGGGGCTTTCTGGGAAAAACATATGTTATCGGGAAAGACTCATTCTTTTGTGCAAATCAAATAGTCTTTCCGGTCCATTCAGCCAGAAAGATCTGTTTGGGCCTGGAAAGATGCGTATCAAATGGAGCCTTAATCTGTTTTATTAAAAAAAAAAAAAAAAAAAACTGTATGTAAACTATTAATGTGTTCCTTGGAGATGAAGTGGTCAAACAATAACATTATTGTGACAATTATGACTAAGTAATAGTGTTAAATATTGTGTGTGAATGCGTTAAAGTGGGTAACTTTCTAATACAAATGTTTAGGCCAAAAAGGATATTTTGGTCGATTTGAGTAAATTATAACTTTGAAATGCATTTCTAAAGATACGTGTAACATTCCAAAAATACTTTCAATTTTAATTAAGTTATTATATAACCATTTAGTATAATATCATCCATAATAACATCTCATATCAAAACCAAAGTAAAAATAATCAAACCATGTTATTATAAAACAATATCAGTGTGTAATCCCCAAGATCTCGTGTGCGGAAATATAGTGTGATGCGTTGCGATCAAGCCGACTCATTTCCTTTGAAAACGAAGTACTTGAAACCAAAACTGAAAACCGTAAGCACAAAACTTAGTGAGTTTCCATACAACACATATACTGCCAAGCATATCCGGGTGCTGGTCTACCCCTTCGGTATCTTTCAAACGGTGGTAGTTAGGGTTTTTTTTTTTTTTTCATTATTCCACTTTCTAATACATTTTACAAAGCTTTAATCCCAAAATAAGCACACACTAAAAATAAACACATACACACACAACTAAGCTAAACACACACCCATAACCACCTTGTGGTGGCCGGCGGTGGCGAGTGGCGACAGTCACTACCTCACGGTGGTGGCGGACTGGCGGTGGCTTTTCCGTGAACTCCGACTAAACAAAACACCCAAACACACACTTCAAAAAAATAGTACACACTCCAGCCATCCTCCTGGTGGCTCACGGCGGCGACACGAGTGGATTTAGAGTGGCAGCCACCACCTCACGGTGGTGGCAGTGGGGTTTTCTTCATATCTACGACCAAAAGATGCTCTTGCAGCCCCATACCAGCACAACACACAAACCCACACACTACAACACGCCCACAACCACCTTTCACGGTGGCTAGTGGTGGCAGAAAAGGGTAGCACGGCGGCGGCAACAACATTATCAGCAACCGGGCGGCTAATGGTTGTAACAGCAGCGACGACCGATGGCCTGGGGCGTTGCACTGAAGAACCGACTACGAGACAGGAGGAGAGGAGGTTGTGACGGAGGGACGGGTCCCTCTGGTGGTCTTCGTCGTCACCGGAAAAGGGAACGTCGACGGTGCTAGATGGCGGTTCGGCGGCAATGAAACAGTAACACGAACGACTTTGCTGGCAGCTAAATGACATGATAGCTCCTTGGTGGTTTCCGGCATCTACAGTGGTAGCGGAGCCGGTGGGGAAGAAGGAGGGTGGTGACTGCCACTCTCTTCAAGGTTAGGGTTAGAACCGAGGGTGACGGGTTTATATACCCCGATACCCCAAACTTGTTTCCATAATGACAAGTTCAGCCCCTCCCTCTAGAAATTATTTTGAAATAAACCCCCAGATTTACCATTTAAACCCTGACCTCGAAAATCCCTTTCAAATCCAATCCAAAATTTACCTAACAGTCCCTCCCACTACAAATATTTTCAAATGAGGTCCATAATTAACTCTTTAGCCCTTGTTTTCATAAATCCTTTGATATTAGGTCTAATACTTACCAAACACCCCCCTGTCCTCTAAAATCTTTACAAAATAAATCTCGAATTTATACTTTGACCCCCGAATAATTCAACTTATGGCATTTGGCTTCCCAAAACCAACACCTTGCTATATAATTATTAATTTTAGGGCTACGATTCATTCATTAATTTCGTCTATTTATTTTTTATATAAACGGGATGTTACAACTCTCCCGCACTTAAATTAGATTTCGTCCTCAAAATCATTCCTTACCATTCCTTACATGCCCTATCACTCTAGTGACATGGTCACCATCCTGGG